GGAACCACCTTGGCAGCATGAATCCACAGGGTTGATGGGGGGTGAGAGTCCCCCGCTGAGGGCTGGCCAAGACCTTACCCAAATTCACACCACCACAGCCTGATCTGCAGACTAGAAAAAGGATGCCCAGAAGCACAATGATTCCTCCAGTGTGTGTAAGCATTCTGGTGATTACCAAAATACAAATTCATTTAAAGGCATTATTGAATTCCTGGAGGTTTTTGTCTTCATCTATTTTCTCAATCAACAGACACTACAAGCATAATGAGTATTGCATAGGGACTAGTAGGGAAAAAAATCACGTTGAAAAATGAGTCCTAGGGGCTGGGAGTGTAGTTCAGTGGTAGAGTGCTTGTCTAGCATGTACAAGACCCTGGGTTCCATCCACGGTACTGCAAACAAACAAGCAAGCAAACAAAACAACACAGACAAGTACAGCACGTTCTCTCTCATATGTGGAAACTTAAAAAAAAAAAAAAAAGTCAGCCTGAAAGTACAATAGTGGTTGCTAGGGACTGGGAAGGGGTGCAGAGGAGAGGCAAGGGTAGAAGAAGGGGGGTGGATATGATCAACGCATGCTACATGCCTGTATGGAAATGTCATAATGGTCCCACTGATATGTACAATTAATATGTGTTAATAATAATAAAGAATACCAGTAGAGCATTGTATGCACATATGAATAATAAAACAAAACAAAAAAAATAGAATACCAGTAGAGAGATTAGGGGAGTCACTGCTCTCAGCTGGGGCGGAAGTTGGTGGAGGGGCCTGGCAAGGGGTCCAGGATCGGGGGAGAGTTAGGTTCAGTCTTGGGGACTGCTTCAGGGTGTGTGTGTGTATACAGAGTGATAGGACAGGACAGATGGGGCAGGAACTGGTGACTGGAGCAGGAAGGATGGGGATGCTGGGGCTGGCCTTGCCCATTTTCATACCTGCCACAGGTCACTGCAACCTGGAGTGTGGGCAGTGGAGGGGGCTGGAGAGGGAGCCCAGCCCCATCTGCCAGAGAAGCTCACTGAGCCCCCTGCTCAGCCTGGAGAGGAGATGCTCCCCTGAGATTACCGAGGTGTCGAAGCCTCAAGACAATATCCTGATAAATCTTAGGTGATGGAGGGAGGGCGTGCTGTGAAGAAGATAATTAAGAAAGAGCTTGTAGTGAAAGAAGACTGCAGTAGAAACCATGGCGCGCTCCACAGTTCACAAGCAGCATGGTTTATGGCCTGCCCTCTCGCCTCCGAAGCTCCAATGTATGTTTCACAGGTCTCTTGGAGCCAGAGGTTCAGGACAAGTACCATTCAATGTCCTTGTGATGCCCAAGGGAACATTTTTTAATCTATTAGAAATGAGAGGACCTGAAAACCATTTAAAACCACTTAGGTCGTAATGGGCTAGGGAATTTTGGAGTTTCTTACGTGGCTGAAGGCTGTGCATCATTTGGGCCATCCAGGCTGAGAAGGCACAGGCTTATTTTTCCAGAGGGGGAAAAAATGGTATTTGGAAATCCATTCTAAAAACAAGGGCCTTAAGACTGTGTGCTGTCCCCTGCATAGCTCTCTGGCTCAGTGGGATCAATACCGAGCACCAGGAGACTTCACATATCACCTTCCTTGCCATGGCTGAAATATGTGTCTTTGGAGAGCATCTATTTCCTAGGGAAGGCAAGATCTCCAAAATCACAGAGCAATACTTCATATTCCTTAGTCACAGAACTTATTTCAGGACTGATTTTATCTTTTGAGAGAGGATTTTTTTTCTTCCTATTCTCTTAACTTTTAAAAGCTCCCAACGTTTCTCCAGCTTGAGGACTAAATACAATTTTAATACAGCAATTATAAGTTTAGAAGCCCTTCAGCCATTGACAAATGTACTTAGCAGTACCAGCAATGTTCTGATCCTGCTGTCAAGGTGGGAAAATCATGGGGGAAAGATCGTCAAGAAGCCAAGTGCCCTAGAAGGACTGCTCTTAGGGAAAGCAAGGTTCTGGGGCTTCTCCCTCCCTCCTGCTGTCCCCAGTAGATCCTGACCTCTGTACAGCTCCATGTCCTGGGGAATGAACAGTGACTGCTCTCCCAGCAGGCTTTGCTGCCCTGGGCCTTGCCTTTTGAAGCTGTACCTAGGATCTTGCACACTGCTGCACACCCAGAACTACCTGCACATTTCCCAGCCTCTAATCCCTGTTCCCGAGCCTGTTGCCTTTGAGTAATGTGATCCTGGCCACCTGTCTTGTGCAAGAGGTGTGTGAGCCAGAGACATGAGTTTTGCCAATGGTTAACATGGCAATTGTACGGATGCAAGATAGAAACTTTTTTTTGTGTGTGGTACTGGAGCTTGAACTCATGGCTTACACCTTGAGCCACTCCACCAGCCCTTTTTTGTGATGGTTTTTTTTTTTTTTTTTTTTTTTTTTGAGATAGGGTCTCATGAACTATTTGCCTTGGTCTGGCTTCCAACCATGATCCTCCCGATCTCTGCCTCTTGAGTAGCTAAGATTATAGGTGTGAGCCACTGACGCCCAGCTAGGAACATCTTTTTAAGGTTAGGCACAATAATGGGATGGAGTGTGTGTGCTCCTTTACAACAGAAGCCCTGTTTTACTCAATTGAAGAGCCAATCTCTCAGGAAGAATGCAAGCAAGGCCACTCACCAGCAGAGGGCAGAAGCAGACACGTGGAGGCCGGAATGCCCAGAGATGGATTAACACCTTCTGAAAACTAAAGCCAGTACCCACCTCCATGCCAAGCAACCAGGGGACTTGTTCTCTTGCCTACCCTGGGTTTGCCCAGGACTGTCCCAGAATGCTCAGATGCTGCTGGCTGAAGTTTTCCTGCTCCTACCAGGCAGGCATCTTTTAAAAGCTTGGAAGTCAATATGAAGGTTGAAGTTGACACCAACTGATGTTCTGTCTCCTCCTGTCACTCCCCATGCCCCAAGGACTCCAGAGGCTGAGCAGCAGCTATGTGTGTTGGGAGCACTCAATCACATGTGACCAGAGCAGAAGCGGTCTCCAGCAAACCCCACTCCATCGGTGCCTCCCACCCAGGCCCCACACCTGACAGGCAAACCCCACTCCCCTTAGCTGCCAGCTGAACCTCTCCCACCCCGGATGGGGAGAAATAACTAGTATGAGGCAAAGCAGGCAAATGCAGCACTTCAGTGAGCCCCATCCCCCAAAGCTCTGCCCAGCCCCACCCTGCCCACGCTCCTACCTCCCCCAGCCAGTATGCAGGTTTCCTTCCCCGAACAACCAATGCTCATAAAGTTTATTGCTGTTCCCGGTGGTGCTAGTGAACAAGACAGCAACCATACAGGTTTCTGTCTGAGAAGGATTTATTCAAAGTCCCCTGCTCAAAGCAAGAAGAAACAGGGAATGCTGCTGGCTGGGAGGTGGGCTCAGCCTGGGATTCAGCCCCAGGATGCACTGGGGAAAAGGACAGGGAGGGTCCCAGGGGCCCCAGGCCTTATGCAGAGGAGGATTTGTTCAGTACCCTGGCAAGGACATGGTGAGACAGCACAGGATTGGGTCCAGGAGAGCTGGTCCTGCCTCAAACTCCCTGTCTCTGCCTCTCTGGGCCTCAGTTTCCCTGTTCAATTTGAAGAACTGTCTGACTCAGCCATGCCTTTGCTGTCCAATGAGACAATTGGCCCTTCAATTCAGCAAGTCAGGATGGTGGGGGAGATGGGAGGAGTGGGAGGGTAGTGGTGGGGTCTCTCAGGTTAAAAAAGATTTAAGAGATGTGCTGACTGAATGTGTCTTGGTTGGATTTGGGTCTAGCAAAGCATTGATTAGGCAAATAAGAACATGGCCTGGATACAATTTGGGGAAATTGTTCTTTTTGTTAGTGGGATAATGGGATGGGGCTATATAAGACCCTACCGAGGTACTTTCTGAGTGCTGTGATGTCCATAAATCACTTCAAAACCCTTTATCCTTCATGAACTCAGTGAAGTAAATATGCCAAGACTTAAAACAACCATTGAGATCCAGGTGCAGGCTATGCAAGGGTTTATTATACCATCCTCTATTTTTCCCTGGATAGTCTTTCATAATAAAAAGGTTAAGAAACTAGTAGCTTGAAAAAAAGAAAATAGAGAAGAATAGAGGTCTCACTTCATCTGCCCAAAGTCTCTGGGGAAGAGGCTGGATGGGTGATTTTCAGAACCCTAGGATCCTGAAGACCCGAGGGCTGGCTCAGGTTCAGGTCTCAGGCTCACCAACAGGCCTAGAAGAACCGTATGAGGTGAGGTCCCCAAGACTGCTACTGCCCAGGACAGTAGAGATCACCAGGCTTGGTGGTGACATACCTCTGATGGCCACATACACCCCCACTCAGTGGTGGTCCACCACTACTACTCTTTTCCAGGGGACACCCTAAACCCAGGCCCCATGCTGCTGCCCACAGGCACTGATGTCATCCAACCCCATGGCCCCATCCGGGAAGAAGGTTGGGGCTGCTGGGACAGGACATACTGATCCTGGGGCCCAGGGAATGCTGGAAACTTCTCCAGGTTCCCTGCCTCTGGTAAGAGTTAACTCAGTGTGGGAGCAGAAATTGGTGGCTCTAGCCCCGTACCCATTGCCCACAGCCTCCTCTGCAGTCCCAGCTTACCCAGCCTCCCTGCCTCCGTGTAGGGGCCAGACAGAGGACTCCAGGATACCCTAGGAGGGGAGGTGGAATTACTGTAGGGGAGGGGGAGAGACGGAAGCAGAGCAAATGCCAGAATTTCTAGATTGCTGAACCATACCAGCTCCCACCCCCCAGACACACACAAGCACGCGCACACACATGTACGCGCACACACACACACAATGTGCAGACCCCTATGGAGCATTGACCCCTCCACAGGGCGGATCCCAGCCAGCCCTGCATGGAAGTGAAGACCCCCTCCCCCTGGGAGGGAACAGACCTGTGTCCAGGGCACCCTCTCTCTTTCACTGAGGCACCATCAAGGGCTCAGCATAGCTGTTCCTGCCCATACAACCCCCTGGCAGTACTCACCAAGGTGTCCTTCCAGGGACAGCACAGGGAGTACAAGGAGAGGAATCTTGTCTCTCAGCGCCCACCGTCTGCAGGCATCAGAGTCCTTTGCTCACTGGAGCCGGGGTGGACAGGTCTGCCCAGGAGGGCTGGGGTGCCAGTGGCCTGGAGTGGGAGGGTCACCTGATACCCTGGGGAAGGGCTGGCAGGGATGGAATGTCCAGCTGTCAGCTGGGTGTTCTGCTGGTCTGGGGCAGGGCCAGGGGTCTGGGAAGGAGGAGGGGAAGAGGGAGAAGAGGAGGAGGAGGACCAGGAGTGGTCTGAAGGAGAAGGAGCCAGCCCAGCTGGCTGGCTCTGGGCACCAAGGGCTAAGTTGCCACAAGGCCCGTGGTTGTTTGTTTATTTATTTATTTGGTACTGGGTGTTGAACCCAGGGCGTTGACATGCTAAGCACTTGCTGTCCCCCTGAGTCACACCCCCAGCCTTTTCCTGTTATGTTTAGTCCCTGTTCAGAAGGAAAGGGACAAGGCTAGGGTGGGGGCTGTGCCCTCTCTTTCCGTGGCCCCTGCCCCACCCCATTCCTGACAACCTCATGGCAGTTTGCCTCAAGCTATGGTTGCCAGAGAGAAGGAAGTTCATGTAAGCCTTTCAGTCAGTCAACAGTTGATGAGTGGACAGTTTGTCTGCTTTTTGAGGCCCTGTGTGTGCCAGACTCTCTGCTGGGGGTGACAAGGAATCAGTAGACAAGCCCTTGCTGTCAGGGGGTTACACTTGGGCAACTTAGCAAGTGGGACGGCAATTCTAGAACATGGATCTCAGGAGGGGACCCTCACCCAACCTGGGGGGGGAGCAAGGACGGTGACCTGGAGAAAGTGACCAAGTGAGACCCAAAGGAGAAATGGGGTGATTGGGCTGGGTGGGGGGATGGTGAGAGGGCTGTAGCCAGAGGAAAAGCAAAGGCCCAGGGTGGATGAGGGATGTAGGAGCTGGGTGACTGGGGAGGTTGGGTGGGTGAGGGAGGTAGGAGCTGGGTGACTGGGGAGCAATGAGAGATTGGCGGGAGGTGTCTCAGGCCCCTGTGCTGAGCTCCTCTGGATGGACTAACACCCTTTATGCCAGGAAGTCAGGCCCTGATTTGTGTTTAGAGGTTGGTTCTGCTTTGAAGAGAGTAGACTTGGGGAGCAGATCAAAGATGGTGGCAGGTGCTGTCCTCCAGGTGAGCCCTACCTGGTGGGGGGAGGTAGATGGTAGGGTGGGCAGGTGAGTGAGTTCCTGAGACATTGAAGAGACAGTTTTGCTGAGCTTTGGTGCTTGTGAGGATGTGGACAGATGGGCTGAGAGTGAGGACAGACTTCAGGTCTGAGTGACCGTATTAGTTTCTGCCCTTTGGGTGGCTCGAGCACTCTGGATAGCTGGTAAAAGTCCCTTCAAGCACTGAATTGGATGTCCTTGCTGGCCTCTTTGTGTGAGGGTGACACCCTCGGCAACAGTCTATGGGTTTAGCCTCCTCTTGGGCGGAGCTTCTGCCTAGCCCTCTCAGGCCTTGCTTGCTCCTGGTCTGGTCCAGCCTCTCATTCACCCCTCAGGCTCTTGTCCCCATCTGGTCCCCCAGAGCTGTGGGTACAGTGTCATTTCACCCTTGCTCATTTTCACATGTGTCCATGGAGCACTCGTGTTCTGATGACTTCTCCCTCCACCCACACAGGTAGAATGGGAGATGAGTCAGGACTAGAACCTGGGTCTCCTGGCTTTCACTGTGGGTATTGTCTACTCAGCGTCCTCCAAACTCCTCAGCCTAGCCTGGCAGGAGCTGCCCAACAGATGTGTTAGTGGCAAGAGCACAGATGTGCAGGGAAGGCCTGTGTAGTAAGTGTGCAGCTGCCTGTGCAGCACCCACACCCTCCTTTCCCATCTTTGCAGCAAGTCCTCTGCTGCAGACAGACAGAGGCCTCCACCACCCAGGCAGGGCAGGAATTCCAGGGTGCCCTGAAGCCTGGTTGAAAGTGGGCTGGAGTCCCATGCATGCTCCCAGCCCTGCTGCCCAGCCCAGGTTGGCTGGTCACATTCACCAGGGAAGGCAAATGTCAGGCTGCCCTCTAGTCTCAAGTCTCCTGTGAGCCCTGTCCTCCCACTGCCCCATATGTGCCTGGCTCCAGTTACCTGGCCTGGAAGAGGATGTGACCCGCTTTCCCCCGCCCTCCTCACCTCTGCTCTCCCATCTGGCTGGATTCACCTCGGAGCCACTGAGGTCTGAGCAGAAGGCACTTATAGGGGTCTGGAAGGGAAAGGACTTCCCACATGAGCAAGGTGGCCACAAGTGGCCGAGCCTGGACTGGATCCCAGGTTTCTGGAAGGGCAGGGCTTCCTTTCTATTGTTGTTGTTATAAAGCTGGTTCCACCTGACTTTTTACTCATTCATCTACTTATTTCACATTTTTGAGCCCTTTCTAAATGATGGAGATACAGCAGTAATAAAATAAGCGGGAACAGGCAGTCTGGAGTTTTCTGTTTATTTCTGTTCTCTCGGTGTCATTTTTCTGAGCTCTGTTGTACTCCCAAGATGCCTGACTGCTAAATTGCTCTCCACAGCCATGTCTGGAGCCCAACCGTGCCCACCACAACTCCCACCCACACCTTGGCCTGGCTCCCGTCTCTCCTCCTCCAGGAAGTCATCCCTGGCCAGTGTGGTTCTCCCTCTGCTGCAGCTCTTAGATGCCACCATTTGGAGGCTGGGGCTCACACGCACTCACCTACTATTTAGGGGCTGTCCCCTCATAGCATGGGGTCACTGGTCCCTCTTCACCTATCCGGCCTCTTTACAGTCATCTTCCCCAGCCTGGCCTTGCACAGCCCAAACATTTCTGTAAATAGTCCCCTTGCCTCATTCTCCACTGCCCACCCTGGCCCACCATACCACCCTCTCCCACTCATCAGGGTGTCCCTCTTCTTAATCCTATAGTTCATTCTCCCTGGGGTGAGGCTCAACACTCTTTGGTGTCTTTCTGTCCAAATCCCCCCTGCTCACCTTTCCAGCCCACCTCAATGGCATCCCCCTCGCTTACAATGGTCCATTTGTTCTGTTGCTCCTTCTGGCCTGGATGCCCTTCCCCCTCCTCTCAGAATGGCTGACTCCTCTTCAGCCTTCAGATGCCAGCTGGAGTATAACCTCCTCCGGGAAGCCCTCTTTGACCTCTCTGCCATGACCTGCCATCTGCACCTTTCTTTAGAGCCACTTAGGCCAGATGTTGTTACCTTTCTCTCCTCCTTGAGAATGATGGCTTGGCCCGTCACTGTGCTCAACACTGCGTCCTCAGCACCTATCCCAGTGCCAGTCTTCCGTTGGGTGTTTGATGGATGAACGAATGAATGAATGCGTGAACTCGGGCTGCACCTCTGACTTCCCCTCCCAGCCTCTCAATGTCTGCTGTGAATAATGGGGGTTTCCTTTCCTCTCCTGACCCTGAGGAATGGAGGCCTCAGGCTGGGTTGCCATAGCCCCATGACATCCCTCCTTAACGGCTGCCCCCTCCCTGCTCCCATGACCCAGTTCTGACTCTAAGACAACAATCTTGTCATCCTAGGACATGTGATCACCTGACACTGCTGACCTGCTCTAGTTCCAGTGAAAGTCCCTCCCCCTCTGCCGGTCTCTCCTCTCACCACACACCAGCCTAGCACAACCTGTCCCTTCCTCCTCCTCCTGCCACCCAATCCCAATGCCTAGAAAGCCAGGATGGAGCACACCTGAACTTCCAGAGGGGGCAGCCTGGAGGCCAGCAGCTTGGTGCTCCTCCACAGCAATACCTCTGCACAGGCCTGGCCTGGCCCCAATGCCCCACCCTCTTCCCCCACCCCCACCAGGAACTTCAAGCCTGGGTGTTGGACCCTGTCTAGGGTTCTGCACCTGAGCCCCACTGGAGCTCACACAGTTACAGAGCTAAGGCCCTAGATCGTCGCAGCCACTCCTCCCTCTCCTTTCCTCCACCTGCCCCAGGGAACCTGGGAATCTGGGACAATGAGCCACAATCCACAAACTGCAAAATTGGAGGTGTCAAACTGTGAGTCAGATAAACTCACTGCCTAGGATGCAGGGTGCCACCACTTGGGGTCCTCAGGACAGGCAAGGTCAGAGCACCTGCATGAAGAAGAGTGCCAGCTCTGGGTGGGAGTGTGGCGTGGAGAGGGAGGCCCTGAGCAGAGCCACACATCCACCACCGCCATCATTTGTTGGCACAGCAGGCCTGCAACAGCACCTGTGTGATGCAGGACCTGCCCTCAGCTCTTCACACACAGGATCGTGTGGACCCTCCCTACAGCGACGCCCCCAGGTGGAGCTGCTGTCCCCCTATTTTACAGCTGGCTGAGGCCCAGAGAAGAAATGACCCACCCAGGGCCACACAGAGGGAAGGATGCAGAGGACCTGGATCTGCGACTTCCCAATGTGAGATAGCTGTCAGGAAGGTGGGTTTTATGGATTTTTAATCCATGGAAGAGCCGATATGTGGTGACGAGAGCCCAGTTGCGTGTCGTCAATAATGCAGTGCATCTCCTGTGCTCCTTAAACAAACAAGCCACAAGTAGCATTGATGAGGCCCCAGAGTGGCCAACATGAAAGGCTGTCAGAGGAAGAAGGCTGGTGGGGACCTGTCCTGCTCTGCTGCAGTTCCCTGGAGAATTTGCTGCTCTTTCTAGGTTCAGGGGTGCCTTTTCCTTTCAGGGAACAGGTGCCACCTGCCTCCTGGACATGAGGCCTTCAGACTTGAATCCAAGTCTCATGATGACCAGTATCACAGAATCAAGGACTGGCTGTGGATGTAGACATAATTGGGCTAGTCCTAGCTCTGCCACTTCCTGGTGATGTGACCATGAACAAACATCTTAACCTTGCTGAGCCTCAGTTTTCTTATCTGCAAACTGGGCAAAGTTTTCTTGGGGTTTCAATGCCATAATGCAAGTAAAAACCATTTAGCCCAGTGTCTGACACAAAGTCCCCCTAAACCTTAACTATTGTTATAATTAAAAACGGTGAGCCAGGCCACATGGGGATGGGCCTCCATGGGGGAGGGAAAAAATGACATCCACACCTTCCAACCTTCCAAGTGACAAGCTTATGTCCATGGCTCAGAATGTGTGTGTGTGCGTGTGTGTGTGTGTGTG